GCAAATATTAAAAAACACATAAACTGGTTTTTGTGTGTCACGTGGTATGATGAATGCAGCAGTGGTTCAAATCAGATGTTTGTGAAGTCAAAATACTAAGTCTATAGTTTCAAACGAAGTAGAAACTCAAATTATCGATATTGACAAGCTAGAATATAAAATAACAGTCTCTTATTTTCTCAATTTGCTAAGATATTGCTCATGTAATAAATCACACACACAGTGCCACCCCACCCACCTCTTTCCATTTTTGGAAATACTCCCTTATATACTCTTACTTCTATATATGACATGAATAACCAATTGGAAGCTCAGAATGTCTCTATAATGGCTTTCTCAGCCATTTTAACAGACTTGGCGACATTCTTTTTTTTTGAACCAATATTTCAATAAGATAGGGTGTGTCTTTAGTCTGCTCAAAATTTCATATTTTTGTTAGAGTAAAATACATCTTAGTTACTAAGCTTGATAAATTATAGTGGAATTCTATGGTACTGATGTAGTAATTTGTGATTTTGTAGTTATTCAAATGTATATATAAACCTAAAAAAAATATTTTGTTTCATATCCTCCACGTGCAACCTGAGTCAAGCCATTTCTTTTTTTGAACCAATATTTCAATGAGATAGGGTGTGTCTTTAGTCTGCTCAAAATTTCATATTTTTTTAGAGTAAAATATATCTTAGTTACTAAGCTTGATAAATTATAGTAGAATTCTATGGTACTGATGTAGTAATTTGTGATTTTTTAGTTATTCAAATGTATATATAAACCTAAAAAAATATTTTGTTTCATATCCTCCACGTGCAACCTGAGTCAAGCAGCAACTGAGTACAAAGGTCATAACTAGAAGAGATAATTGTTTGCATTACTTCTTTATTTACTGTTCTATGTTTTAGGAAAAAGATGTTTAAGAACTTATTTCAAAATAGCAATAATCTATATACACATATAATGTATAATAATTGAAATGTTACTGTATTTTACAAAATAATAGTCGACTAAAACAGCCAACACAAGTTACTTTGTAAAAACCAAAGGTTTTATGTTATTTGATATGGTAACATGAGTGCAGGTGAGCCGCGTCATTGTAACTTCTGTATTGTTAGCCAGGCACAGGTGAAAGGACAATATAATAAAAACAATAAATGTATAATGTTATGAAATTTAAGCTATTTAGTCTAAACATTTATGTTTTCGTGTTATAATCTGTGTTCATTCTAGAATGAAAGAGGCATAATTTATGTTTATTTCCTAATTTTTTATGGTGGTTGTGAGATCGTTCAAATCTATTGAACCCGTACAGAGATTAATTACTGAAAATAAGATAAAATATAAAGTTTTTTCTTAAAAAACAATTTGGTAACTATCCAGATATTATAAAGATTCTGCATATGAAATTTCAAAATTTTCTGATGCATAAAAGATTTTTAATCTTAAACGAAAATTACTTTGCATGATAGATAGGCAAGATGTGAAAGAAAAAAAAAAAGGCATGAGAGAAACATTGCTTTACAAACCTTATGACTTAATTAAAAAAAAACAGATATTTTGCATATGAAAGCATTGTAATGTTTACTGATAAACTGCCAAATTTCATTAATGTTCACTTACTAATTTAAAAATTATAGCATAAAAACTATAACAAGCACAAAATGGTTACGAGGTTGTCACATTGACCGACTCTGTATTGAAAGAGATAATATTATTCTTATCTAAGAAAATGACTAAAAAATATGCAGGAACACAGGAAATTGATATTAGAACTTAGAATACTCATGCATAAATGTAACAAATAAAAAATTTGTAAAAACAATAAGAAATAAAGTCACAGCCAACCCTGTTATGTCAAACCAAGAATTGAGCAGTTTATAGTACAATAGATAACTTTGGTAATTTTAATATTTATGATGACTTTAATACACTCTGACCTATTGAGAATAATTCTTAAATATTTAACATGCTGTTGAATTAATTAGAAGACATGGGTAATTCAGTACCAACTGAGAACAAACAATTTTTTAATCTGGTAAAAACTTACTTTTTTAGGACGCTTTGCTGGTTTTGCTGTAGCTTCCTTTTTCTTTCTCTTTTCTCCTCCACCAGTAGTTGGTTTTTTAGGTATAGCACGTGATTTCTTAACCTCAGGAATAAATTCATTGTCTGAGCCATCAGATCTATCCTCCTTCTGTTTCACTACTGATACAATAAACGTGAGCTTTATCTTAACAAATCTGTCCTCCTCCCGTTATATCTTAACAGATCTATCCTCCTCCTGCTTTACTACTGATACAATAAACGTGAGCTTTATCTTAACAAATCTGTCCTCCTCCCATTATATCTTAACATATCTATCCTCCTGCTTTACTACTAGTACAATAAATGTGAGTTTTATCTTAACAAATCTGTCCTCCTCCCGTTATATCTTAACAGATCTATCCTCCTCCTCCTCCTTCACTACTAGTACAATAAATGTGAGTTTTATCTTAACAAATCCACCACTAGTTAGAAAAAAAAAATCAATCTGCATAAAGAGTAATGTATTGGGAAAATCTTAAAATTGTAATTATATGCACTTTGATAAAAGGTTCATATGTAATAAGACCAGCTTAAAAATACTGGAAGTGTTAGTAAGAAGGGGGAAAAAAAAAGAGTACTTTGAAAGCCTGAAGTAAAAAAAAAATATTGTATTATATACACACACAAACATATACATATTAATGACAATTACAGTTAGAATACCTTTGCTTTCCCGTTGTTTATTGGCTCTTTCATCATCATCTGTGCTGGAACCACTATCAACAGATTTTGCAGAGGGAACTGTTGATGGTTCAATGTTGAGTGAAGACATAGACTCATCAGGTTTTTTATCTGGAGAAGATCCTCCCAATAAAGAATCAAAGAGCCCATCTGTTGCAAATAAGAAAATTTATACAGTTCTCATGGCATGTGGATACGATCATACACAAACAAATTCACTTAAAAATAGAGTTTTTTTTAAAAGCATATTTCTACCTTTTGGTACTATCATGTAGTACACCAAAGATAAATATGGTTTTCAAATAACTAATCTTAATGGTTGAATAAAACATTATATACTTTAAAAATACAGTATTCTTTAATTTCAGTTAACACACAGTTTATGAAAACTAACTATTCCTTCTTCTTGTCAAACATACTAAGCTAGACGGTAGTTATAAATCCCTGTTCTTTTTGACAGTATCTTGAAACCTCTTTAAGAGAAAAACAAATCAAAATTGGGGAAACAACAAATTTAGATAACCTTTCAGACTGAAGATTGACAAGATAAGCCAGTTTCAGAAAGTAAAATATCTGAAAATGTTTTTTGGATAAAAAAAATTCATAATATATATATATTGACATTATGATTTGAAGTCTTTTAAACCAAAGTGATAAATATATGGAAGTTCCCAAATTACATTTAATAAAGTGAAACGACAACAACTTAACATCTACTTCAACATTCAATACATGACACTTAACTGTATCGCTATGGGTAGGTCAAAGTGCTTATGTCATGACCTTTTAGAAAGTTACATTCAAAATATAATTAAACTACTTTATTATCAATATATATGAATAAATTTAGCATCAAAACACACTTAATAACTCGAAGTTTTATATTATACAAGTTTTAAGTTCTTAATTAGGGAGGAGTATTTTAAAAACTATCAATTTCCTCTAGTATAACAATCATCACATTTGTTCTCTAGGTCTTCTCCCTTCTCTAACTTATTTACTACCTCTCTCTGAAGTAAAGAATTTAACATAAATTACTTATTATAACATACTATGGCAAAGTCTAATTTTTATAGCCTTCAAGCTTATTTGTTTATGGAATCATAAACTAGAAAATTAGATCCACTAACCACTTCCTCTCTTTCACAAATTGCCAATAGTTCTTTCTCTGGCATTTTATATTATTTATAACCAACAGAAAAGTGAAGTTTTGATCTATTAAATGATATATTATACATGTTGTTTTCAGTACAGGGTACTGTCTATTACTTCTTCAGTTTTAAAGTTTCACCTGCAGTGTTCAGATCAAGAAGCTTTGGGAATTATTTTAAGGCTCTTACATCATAGTCAGAAGGCCAGTTACATTATGACAGTTATGGGACATTGTTTGCTTTATGCATGTTATTATTCAGTGTTATTAGATGCATTATTTAAGTACATAAAAATTATTCAGTATAACAGTACCATTTGTATAAAAAAAAGTAGGCTTAAATTTCACTGGCAACCAACATCAAAAATAGTCAAATGTAAGCAATATATTCCTTGTTTTTCATGTTTATTCTTTATTTATTATTATGAAAGTAAATAAAATGTAAGAATTCAAAATTTCTTAGGCTATATAAGGTTAGATTAGGTAAGATAATGGAAAATAATAATAATACTTCTTCACGAGGTACGCTTGATAGCAGCTTGTGCATTAAATCATTCAATACAGTAACACTAGCTACTGTTCTCTGAGTGACTTAACTTGTTTGGTGGGATTATTAATTAGACAAAGTTCAAAAGGCAATAAAACAATAAAATTAAGTACAAACAGATATAAACTGTTACCAGCTTTAAGCTATTCAGAATAAACAATTGTAGTTTCCTGCTACAAGAAAGAAAAAAAGGGTAATTTAGATTTATTTTGTATTATTTTATGGTGATTACAAGGTTGGTCAAATCGACAGTCTCTATATAGTTAGGGTAGAGAAAATAAGAAATAAAATATAAAGTTTTGCTGAAAAAAAAAGTTTGATATTTAATTAGTTTTCAGAGATTATACAAAAGAAATTTGAAAATTTTCAGATGAAGAGTAGTATTTTTAATCTTAACATAAAAACTACTTTGCATTTGGAGCAGTCAACACTCTGACCCTATATATTCACAGAAAAATCTTTAGTAAAAATACTTAATTTAAAATTCTAATTTTTTGTTTACGAAAGACTTGTAATGTTTAATAAAAGCGTGTCCAATTTCATAAAGATACACAAAACATATCAACGTTATTGTACAGAAACTGATGATTACATTGTGGTAACAAGGTTGATACACTGACTGAGCCTGTGTGGAAAGAGTTAATTTCACACATGGTAAAAACATCTGGAAGAAGGCTAAAAAACAGTCATGGACAGATATAATATTCAGAAGTGTGAAAAAATTGTGATAAAATTCAGGTTACTCAGAATTTATTAACACAAATTTTTTTTACATCACTTATAAACAGCTGTCCAAAATGATACTTCTTGGTATTCTTTCATACTCAGGATTGTTAATACTAAAATTTAAATTAAGAGTTTTTCCACTATATATATATATATATACATACATACACACAGAGAATTTGGAACAGAAAGTATTAGCAGATCATAACTGCATATGCACGAAATCATGAAGATACAAGATATTTACAATGTTATTGTAAACTATATTCTGGGAAGTGCATACAATGTATGGTTTACACACCTTGGGCAAAATGAAATTCCCTTAATTTCCCTGACCTTTGAGCTTTTGTTGTAATGTATCCTTGAACTATTACTTACAGTAATACGTGAAACACCAACTAGAGCTATAACATGCATGAAGACACCTTTCATTTGATAATGCTATGAAAGAAAAAACAAACAAAGGAATTTGATCCTACAAAAAAAAAAAAGGATCTTTAATGGATGGTTGCAGTGTTATTTAGAATCTGATCAGAAGAATTGACCCTTGATGAGCAACTACTGATACTCTGTGGCGTACACCCCTTCAAACAGTACATTTAAAGCAAATCTAAAACTTATGGAAATCAAAATTTTAGAATGTTAAATATCATTGTATAGTAAACAAAATTCATTATGAAAAATGTACAGTACTTAGAAATTATTAATACTGTGGTCTTTCACATATTAAATGCATGGGCAAATGGACCTCAATGGTAATGAATAATAACTATAAAAAGTCAGTAATTTGAGGGTAAAAATACAAGCAAAATGTACAAGCTTCATATTATATCCTCTGTGTATACATAAATGTCATAACTTAACACACCTTTATCTCCACCAACAGTATCATCTGTTTTTTTGGTGGTCCTGGATGGTGGGGCATCAAAACTGTCTTCACTGTCTGATATAATCATTTCAGGTGTTGATCCTAATAAAAATATATATACATGTATGTATACATATATTTCTTTATAGTTACAGTTCTATACAGTTAATGGTTGGTTACTACCTTCTGTGATATATGTAGATACGTGTCTATACAGTTCATGGTTGGTAACTAGACCCTCTGTTCCAAGTATATACATGCCTATACAGTACATGGCTGGTAACTAGATCCCCTGTTCCAAGTACATACATGTCTATACAGTTCATGGTTGGTAACTAGACCCTCTGTTCCAAGTACATACATGTCTGTACAGTTCATAGCTGGTAACTAGATACCCTGTTCCAAGCACATACATGTCTATACAGTTCATGGATGGTAACTAGATACCCTGTTCCAAGCACATACATGTCTATACAGTTCATGGATGGTAACTAGATACCCTGTTCCAAGTAGATGCATTCTATAAAGTTCATGGCTGGCCACTAAATCTACTGTTCCAGGTAGATACATGTCTATAAAGTTTGTGGGTGGTCACTAAATCCTCTGTTCCAGGTAGATACATGTCTATAAAGTTTGTGGGTGGTCACTAAATCCTCTGTTCCAGGTAGATACATGTCTATAAAGTTTGTGGGTGGTCACTAAATCCTCTGTTCCATGTAGATACATGGGTACATAGTTCATGGCTGGTAACTAAATCCCCTGTTCCAGGTAGATACATCTCTATACAGTTCATGGCTGGTCACTAAATACCCTGTTCTAAGTAGATACATGTCTATACAGTTCATGGTTGGTAAGTAAATCCCATGTTCCAGGTAGATATATGTCTATACAGTACATGGTTGGTAACTAAACCCCTGTTCCAGGTAGATACATGTCTCTACATTTCATGGTTGGTAACTAAACCCCTGTTCCAGGTAGATACATGTCTATAGAGTTCACATCTCGTATCTAGTTCCTCTGTACCAAATCACAGTTTATATTCCTCTGTTGCTCTGACACCGAGTTTTAGCCCAACCCTCAAGATTCCAGTGTTGAGAGGCTTTACAACAAAAAAATGATGGAAAGTTGGAATTACTGAAAAAAACATTGTCAGGTATAGTTTTTGAGGTCTAACTATTTCTATTTTGTGTTGGGTGATGTTAATACCCACCCGAAGGGGGCACTGTGGATTGCTATTGCATTATGATATATCCGGTGTCATGGTGAATCAAACTTTTATTTTTCCTTTTGTTACGTGAGATGAAAGCTAGGGTGGTCCATGCATATATGGTAAAAAATGAAAAGGTAGAAATGAGATGTATTTTTTTCATTCCTTATATGGAGACTGAATTTTGAACTAACTACATCAATATTTAAAGGTGGCACAAATTTGAAGAAGTTTGCCACAAGTTCAGAGCTCCTGGAGCACATGATCATGCACACTGGATGGCTAAAGCCATATACGCTATCAAAATACTTCTCAATCGAGAACAGTTCAGACTGCCCGACCAAGAAATCAAGTGATTTTTGCAGCTTTGTTTTTGATATTGAATAAAAACCATAATAATATCTACTTGTCCTTCCCTATAATGTATAATGATACTGGAGTGTTCAAGTTACACTACCTTTAAATATGCATGAATCAATCCAGTTTTTCAACATTATTGGTGGTAGTGGAATATAGGCAAATATTACTGCTAAATAATTTTTCACTTTTATATTTTTGGACCACCCTAATGAAAACATTTTTGTTTTCTTAAACTGAATGTTATGTGGCAGATTATAAATATTTAATAAATATTCTAACCATAGACCTCCACTCTACTTGAATTTCACAGAACAAGGTTATCATATCAAGAGCAGCCCATAAATTAAAGTTGGCAATTATTTATTTTTAATCATAGGAATAGCAGTTTAATAAATAAATACATTTAACATAGGTTAATAAGTAAATTTCTGTTGACACTGGTTTTTAGAACTGTTTTCATCAAAAACATTAAGCATGTGTTTATGAGCTATAGAGCCAAGAGATAGAAATGAGACTGATTCTATACAGACCAGCAGCTGATAATGGAATCAATTTCAGTCAGAAATGTAATTTTATACATTTATACTTTATAACCCTTTGTGAACACTGAAAGTGAAAAAGATATTGATACTGACATATCTTGGATCCAGACTGAAAAAAAAAGGATAAATAAAAATCCCTTTACTCATCAAGATAATGGAAGGAAACAAATGTTGTGCATTTGGTGCAAGGATATAGGAAAATTTTTTGTTTCAAAGTTTTTTTTCTTTGAGAGGGTCTTAATTGTACATAAATGTGTTAACGGACACTCCATAAAGTAATCACGTTTCTGAAGCTTAATACAGCTGATGCCCTGCCACTGTAAACTTCTTGCAAAGGTACTTTCAGACACTTTTTGCTGATCTTAGTGTTTATTGGATAATGTATAATAAAATTTCAATCATGCTGGTCTCATGTATAGCAGATATCATGCAACATGTGTTTCACTTGTGATTCTTTTCCTATGACTCAATTTACAGTCTTCATTACACTGACAGTATCTGTAATGTTTCTGTATTTATATTTATCAAGTTCCCCAGTAGACTAAGCTATGTAGGACATACACACTATAACCATAAATTCTATTAAATAATGGTATTTTCTCACACACACAATCCCATCAACACCATTACACATAATAACACCACAATTGATAATATATTCTAACAAAATGCTAATCATGACAAAAGATCCTGTCATAGCAATAACAGAATTTCAATTAATGAAGCCTTTCTCAAAATTAATGCTAATCTTCTGAAGCACTTCAAGGCATTAAGTCTGAAGATTGATTATATTAACTTGTATTTTAACTTAATAACTAATATCCAAACACATTTTTACAAGGATAAGAACAAATAAATTTTTTGAATAACTTACTTCCATTTTGATTTTCATTTGTTTTTTCCTCTCTGTGAGGTTCTGGCTGAGACCTGAAACAGACATACATAATGAAATTTTCCTTTTCCCAATGAATTTCAAAACTGCAATAAATAGTAGCAGTTCATTTCAAGAATGCTTTCAGCTCTTCACATGAAACATGATGACATGAATTGCAAATAGTAGCAGTTCATTTTAAGAATGCTTTCAGCTCTTCACATGAAACACGAATTTCACAAAACTAGTGATATGAATTTCATAAATTTTTACAATAAAATAAGACTAATGGTAAGAATTTCACATTCTTTTCACAGAAACATAGAGTAATGATGCAAATTTGATAAGGATTTTTACACAAACTAATGATGATAAGAACCTTCATAATCTATTAACCCTATCACAAAGGGTTCGTGTATATTACATGACCTTGTAACTACTATGTAACTAGATTGGTATACATATAGCTCTGAAAGTACTTAATGTATCTTCACAAAATTTGGCAAGCTTTCAATAAACCTTAAAAGTATTTTGTAGACAAAAGATCAAAATCTTTAATTAGGTATTTTTACTAAAACTTTGTCCATAATTATATGATGTCAGAGTGTAGACTGCTCCAAGCACAGTGATTTTCATGTTAAGATTAAAAACACTTTTCTTAATCCATAATTTTCAAATTTTGTTTGCATAATCCCCAAAACCACCCAAATAAATACAAAATGTTTTTGTTTTTTCAGAAAAACTTTATTTTGTATTTCTTATTTTCTATACTATAACTCTATACAGGGTTGGTTGATTTGACCGACCTTGTAACCATCATAAAGAAATCAGAAAATAATTCTAATTTACCCTTTCTTCTGCCAATTGTAGCCTGAAACCACAATTGTTTATCCTACATAGCTTAAAGCTTGTAACAGTATGCATCTATTTATACTAAATTTTATTGTTATTGCCTTTTGAACCATGTCTAACTGCCACACAAGTTGTGAATCACTTGGCCAATGTGTAGCTCACATGACCGTATTGCACAAGTTACTTGTTACCCTTTTTTCTGCCAATTGTAACAGGAAACCACAATTGTTTATCCAAGTAGCTTAAAGACTGTAACAGTATGCATCTATTTATACAAAATTATATTGTTTTCTTGCCTTGTGAATTACTTGGCCAATGTGTATTTCACGTTACCATATTGCACAGGCTACTTGCGAGCATACCTTGTGAAAATTTTTTATATTATCATTATTTATTTTACATAAGCTGACCTAATAAGTTTCTAATTGTTATATTTTAGTTACTTTTATAATAACAAATAAAGAATACACACGAAAAACAAGAAATACAGTACTTACCTGGGTCATCTTTTTTTTTGCTGTTCACTGTTGATGAAACTTAACCCTACTTCAAAATGGTGTATTTAAGTGTTTCACACTCACAAAAAAGAAACCTATCATTCTATAGGCATTTGAAGAATTGTAGCATTCCGCTACAATTTAATTCTTCATATTGTTAGCCAACACAAGGCAGCTGTAGTACATAATTGATTAGTTGTTTAAACATTTGTTTAACAACAAGTAAAAGCTTCGAATGGTCTATT